CATTTTGTGTACGTGTTGCATCAAAATTATATATGAACTTACTAAAAATAAAATATTGCTTCGAATAATTTGCAACAATTACTAGTTTTATAAAAGCACCAAACAATTAAGCATGCTGAAAAATAAGAACATCACTAGAAAGGTGATAAAACAGTTTTTTCTTTCTAGAAACTGGAATTGCAAAACGAAGTGAGATCATCACACATATAGATATATAAATATAGTACACATTTTCCCGTGCTTTGTAATCCTTACTTAGCAACCTGAAATGATCTCTATTTCCTTATCTTTGCAGCGTAGTAATACTAGTCCAGAAGCACAATCTAGTTCACAAGAAACTACCCATATAGGCATAAGTCAAATCCCAACCTTAACATAATACTTCTAAAATCATAACAAGGGAATGTAAAATCCGACAAATTTGGTAAACACCACAGCTACGATCCTAGGGTATCTAATCCCTAAGCTCTGATACCATTTTGTCATGCCCTGATCCACAAGCTAGGGTGTGAGCCATATCTTAGCTATAAGAATAAATTCTACAACCAAGATATGGTGGAAAATAAAATGAAATAATTAAAATATATTGAATATGCAACGGAATAACAATAATGCACAAATTAATTCACAACAAAAACTACTAACAAAATAATAATTAAATTGTAACAAATATTAGTATAAAAAATTAATTCATAACAAAAATACCAACTGAAATAATAATTGAAATGAGTAGCTTTTGAAAATACATAAAATGTATGCAATGAGAGGTCTGAACGTACTCACTCCCTTCTAATCTCGTCAACACATACCTAAGGCACCCAAGCCTGCACGTCCCATACCATGCTTATATCACTTGGCTCCGAGTACATTAGAATATAAGTTAACTCCCGTTCATCCTTTAACCCAATTTTTATAATTAAACTCTTAGTTTCCACTTTATTAAACAGGCACTTCCTCCGACGCCCAAATGTATACTAAAGCCTTGCACCCTACGCCTGACATATACAAGATTTCATTATTTTATAATCAACCAATTGTATACTCAAGCCCTGCACCCTACGCCTGACATATACACGGTTCATTATTTTATATTCAAGGCAAACTTTAGCCCTTGAATATCCTCACAACTTTAACACTTTACACAAGTGAGCACTTGACACAACACAACTCTTTTTCTTGCTTTGCAATGCATATGTATATGCCATGTTCACATAGATATCAATACTCATACTTTATCTTACAAACCTGCAATTTCAACATAACTCAAATTGATTAGTAACAAGAGTAGTATAATCATAATGTTAATAACAAAATAATAATTTATAATCCATCATATAAAATGTTGCTCGTTGACCACTCCATATATATTTTTCCAACATTAGAGAAAATAATTATTAGAGTGAAATATATGTCTCAAAGGCCACAAGGCATGGAATCATGTTTCTAGCTTTTCCCTTTCCAAACATCATCATTTATTTTTATTGTTTCAAGTTCTTTTCTTCCCTCTCGTCCTCTTTCTTCTTTCACCACATCCTCTTCCTCTTCTTTAGGATAGCTGAAATTCTTAACCAAACATCAGCTGTTTGAACTGGAATACAGGTCAGCACATAGATTAGATTGTCATGGTTTTTGGATATGTTATATAGGAGATGATAAGGAACAACTTTTGTGGGGAAATGTTTCGATCATAGCTACTAAAAATGGGGTTTTGGTAATCATAACATGGCCGTCCAGTTTTCCGCGGAATTAGAAACATAAGTTGGTATTTCAAACACATTGGAAGATTGCACCATTGGATTTTCCTGAAATTTTGATATGTCATGGTAGAGAGACAGACAAACAATTCTCATGGAGAAAATACTATGATATAATCTATGGATGATGGTGTTTTGGTCTGATAAATAGGCTGGACGAATTTCTAGTTTTTGGATATCTTTCTTTTGATAGATGAAAATGATGGTAGTTTGATGGAGAGATTTGTTGAGTAAGATCTCTTGTATTTTTTCTGGGATTTGTCTCCCACGTTTTGTACATCATTCTCAAGGGAAAATAAATAGAGATTTTCTATGGTTTGGTGGAAGTGCTTCTCATGGAAATTATCTCAAAATGTAAACAACACAAGATTTAAGTGGTTCACCAATTTGGCTACATCCACTAGGGTTGTGTTTTCATTGTATTTCACTATGTGGTAGACTTACAAATACAATGAAAGATGGTTTTAAGCCCTAAGAACATGTAAAAGAAAATAGGAAGGTAATATGAAGGGAAAAATGACTTTTTGTTGGAGTTGTTCTTTTTCTTTCTTTTGTTCTTCTTCTTCCTCTCTCTTTTCTTCTTCCTCTTTCCTCTCCCTTTTCTTCTTCTTCTTTCCTCTATCTTTTCCTCTTCTTCTTTTCTCTATGTCCTTCTATTGTTTCTTTCCTCCTTCCTTTATATAAATTGCATGACATCTTCTTGTCCAAAGAATCTCCACAAGTGTGCCAATGGAAAGAAAGCAAGTGTTGTGCTAATTATTACCATCAAATGTGTTCCAATGAAAACACACCAAATGTTAGCCTAATCATCACAATGAAATGTGGTCCAATGACAAAATAATAAATGTGAAACTAATCATGAACTAAGGAATAATATGCAAGATGTTCCTTGCATCCAAAGGCCACGTCCAAACAGTTTGGGGGATGAATCCTCACCAAACATTTAACTCTTAGATTCCTAATGAATACAAACTTGCCAACTCACCCTTAAGTAGACTTCCAGCTTCACATTTAGAGTGGTGAGTAATCACCGAATCATTAACTCCTAATGCTACAAACTCTCCACCTCAACCTATTTAGAGTAGTGACTAACCCCTCCCCTTCATTCTCTAATGGTTGCCAAAACGCCACTTAGCCTTTGTGAGAACAATAAAGCCAAACTCATCATAATCACCTTCTCTAATTCAAACTAAAAATATCTCTAATTACATATGAACATGAAATACTACTAGCTAGTTTTTGAAATAATTTGTAGTAAAAAGGATTTTACAATGAAACTATTTTACATATCGAAAGTAGGTTCTTGCATAAAATAAATTTAATAAAATCATTACGTAAAATAATTACCCACATACCCACACACACACACACATATATATAATCATTTTTTTTATACGGGGTATGTCATGTATATAATATTATTTTGCAACTAATTATTTTTATGTATTTTTTGCATAGGGTGACAAAGCAATGGAAATTTACAAGACAAGAGTAACACCAAAAAATCAAGTTTTTAAGTTGCAACATGCTTGAGACGTCCTCAAGGATTGTCCGAGGTGGGGAACCGATGCGGACCAACAATGGGAAAGATTATTTCCACGTGAAGCTGCACCGACAAATGTTGGAGGTGAAGGTGTCGATGAAATGACCCATTCTCCTTCTTTTGCAAGGCCCCCAGGAAGAGATAAGCAAAAGGAAGCAAAGAGAAAAGGGAAGTCCCAAGATCCGATGAGTGGACACTTTGCTACCGGAATTGCAAAATTGAATGAAACCCATAGCGCTCGACAAAAAGAAGCGTCCCGAATGCGTTTGCAAATGAAGGAAGAAGGGGATAGGGAGAAAGATAGGTTTGAAATTAATTTCATGATGGAGGACCTCAACAAATACACTCCAGAGAGGAAGAAGTTCTTACGTGCTAAGCAAAAGGAAATGTTGCCAAAGTATGTCTCAAGGAGTATATTTCAAGATGATGAATCCTCTGAACCCTATATCCCAAGTCAACCACGAAGTCCATCACCAAGTCAAGATGGTGGATGTGATTATTAAGTTTATGTAGTGTATGAATTATGTGCTTTATTAATTAAGTTTATTAATTGTCATTTGTTTTAAGTTTATGTAGTTTATTAATTATGTGGTTTATGAATTATCGGTTGTATTAAGTTTATGTGGTTTATTAATTATGTGGTTTATGAATTATCGGTTGTATTAAGTTTATGTGGTTTATTATATGGTTTATGTACTTTATTAAATTTATGTCTTATTAATTATTGTTCCTATTAATCTAGATGCTTTTAATAATTATTGTACTTATTATTCCACACTTTGATGTAGAATAGATGCCTTCAATAATTCAACCTCCATTCAATAATTTATCCAATGTACTAGGCAAAATACGTTGCACAAGAAGACACTTAAATTTATTAAAACAAATTAACAATATAGTACACTTAAAATTATTTCATAAATGCTCAACCAACATCATCAACGTTCACCTTCTTGGCGCTCTCAACCAAATCCTTGCGGAATGTGTCATGACCTTGAGGAGCTTGAATTCTATTTAAACGTCTCATATACTCACTCATGGTGACCCTATCATGTTAGGTCTCATATGTGGTTGAAGCGAGATATTCAACATCTCTGGCAATAGCTCTCGCATGTGTTGGTTGGTCATCATCCACATCCTCATTTGTACTCATCTTCCACAATCATGTTCTGCAAAATTATGCACGTCATCATGATAAAATGGAGGTCTTCGGTATGCCAAAGTCGTGCAGGCCCTCTAACAATGGCCCATCGAGCTTGTAGGATCCCGAATGCTCTCTCCACATCCTTCCTGTAAGACTCTTGCCTTGGGGAAAATAATTTCTTCTTTGCACTATTTAGATGAGAAAAACTTTTGACAAAGGTAGACCAACTAGGATAAATACCATCATTTAGGTAGTAACCTAGCTCATACCTATTACCATTTACCTTGTACCGAAATTCTGGTGCCCATCCATTGATAACATCATCGAACAGAGGAGAAGACCAAAGAAATTTGATATCATTCTGAGGGCGCCGAAGAAAGCATGCCAAATCCATGTGTCGTAAGACACCACAGCCTCGAGCACGATGGTTGGCTTGTTATGATAGCCCTTGAATTGGCCAGCCCAAGCAGTAAGACAATTCTTCCACTCCCAATGCATACAATCGAGACTTCCTATCATGACAGGGAAACTCTTTTGTCTGCCTTGCATAGAAGCCTCTTCAAGTCTTCACGATTTGACAGAAGCGCTTCAGGTTCTCAATAGTAGTACTCTCCGCAAGCCGGCAATACTCGTCAGTTAAGTCTACAAAGCACCTATTAGCTAGCATCCGAAATGCAAATGTGAGCTTCTGATAAGGTGATAGACTTTTTCGGCCTACTGCATCTATCTTCCTTGCAAAGTAGTGGTCATGATTAACAATTGCATTCAAGATGCTTTCAAAAAGCTTTCTCCTCATCTGAAACTGTATTAAAAAATCATGAGTAGCAAATCTCAGATGCTCGATGAAATAATCTTTCATCATTTGGTCATGATACTCTTTTCTATCATACTGCACAAATGAACGCCCCGTGACAAAACCATGATGGCGAGATTCGCTATGGTGCTCATATTGCATAAGCAAGTTTACAAGTTCAGTTTCAGTGTTAATCAATTCTGCATCCTCAATGTCAAGCCTTGCTTGGTATTGTGCCATCTGCATTGCCCTGCTATGCCTTCTTCTATCACCCATTGATGAGATATTGAGGATTTTTAGGAAACAAAAACTCTTTCAAAGTTGAAAGATTGGTGAATATAGAGGATGCTTAAAGGTTGAAAGATTGTGTGATCAACTAATATTGGACCTGTGTTTATATAGAGGATGATTGATGAAAGTTGAACGGTTGGTGAAAGTTGAAAGTTTGGTGAAAGTTGAACGGTTGTTGAAAGTTGAAAGTTTGGTGAAAGTTGAAAGATTGGTGAAAGTTGAAGGCTTGCTTTGTTGAAAATTTAGTGATTTTTCAATAATTATCGGAATTTAAATATTTTTAGATTAAAATGTTCATAAAATTAATTTACAATAGTCTACATATTTTTTTTAATTTAATTTAAGAAAAAAATTAGCCTAAGTTCATTCTTTAATAATGCGGAGCTAAAATTTTAGGTCAGAAGGGTTGGAGCAGAAAATCTTTTTCTGGGCTAAAAGCTAAATTTTCCGGGCTAAAAAATTTGGCTTTTAGCCCAAAGGTTGGAGATGGTCTAAGGGGGGTAGATTGTTACATCCCACCCTTGATTTTAAATGGTAATTTCATTTTATCCCTAAAAGTTTATAAAAAAGTGTTTGAAATAGGTTTGTTTTTGGTGTTAAATGGTGTGCCCAAGGGGCCTACCCCTGATATCTATCCCCGGTCTCTCGTGCTCCCTCTCTCATCTCTCACAATTCTCTTTTCTCCCTCACTCTCCCTTATCTCTCCTTCTCGACTCTCTGAAACTTTCTCATTCCTCATTCCCTGAACTCACACACGCACACATACCTGTATACACGCAAGCAGCCATCGCCACAATCACATCATCACAATCACTCGGACACCCTTCTATCCCTCACCTCTCTGGTCTATCTATCTCTCTCTCTCTTTGCACCGCACTATGCACACAATGCTCTTACTTTTTCGACGAGATTTTGTGTGTGTCGACCAGGGTAAGCATCCTAGACCTCTTTAGTTGTTGTTATAGATTAGATTAGGATGATTTTGAGAACCTTAGGACGTTGGAATGCAGAGATAGCTCCGGGAAAGCTTTTCCCAGTTTCTCGACAATTGGAACGACGATTGCAGGTGTTTTTCCAGCCAACTCCAGCCACCACTCGCCTCAAAATTGGTATAGATCTCTTCCTTGCTTCACATGCTTTATTTTGGTATCTTGGTTTGTTTTAAATGGTGTTGTTTCGAGCTCCGTCGGAGCTAGAGAAGTTTCCAGCCTTCTCCTTCGATTGGGTCCGGCGACCCATGTTTTGAACTCAGGCAAGGCTTTCAAGCCCAAAGCCTATTCGAACCAGGCCCTTGGGGCCATGTAGGCCCATTGCCCTTAAAACCCAAACCCTTTTCCTTTTATTTAGTTTAAACCCCAAAAACCTTTTTAGACAGGCCTTTGGGCCGTTGAACCAGCCCAAAACCCACATGCCTTTAGCCCAACCCTTAACCCTTGAAACCCTTAAAAGCTTAACCCATTAAGCCTTATAACCCAGGCCTTTGGGCTTTGAACCTTTTGGCCCAAACTCCCCAACCTAGCCCAAATCCGGTTGGAATATTCCAAGAAATATTCCTTGAATATTCCCTTGTTGACTTTTCAAAAATTTAACCGGGACACTTCTTAAGGTAATTCGACATTTTGAATCCATTTCTGATGTCTGTTTTCCCAAATTCAATTGTTATAATAGAGTAAAGGTCCTGTTATGCCCCCAATGCCAAAGTCTGTACCAAGATGTTTGTTGGGAGCTAAGTCTGATTCACCTTTGGAGAGGCTTGCTATTATGAAGAGCGATAAGGTGTACTTTACTGCTAAAGTGGTGCGAAGGCTCACTCCTGCTGCTGCTGAAACTGATTCACCTGCTGGGAAGAAGGAGACTATTTGCGTAGGCAACTGTGAAAAATCCATTAAGCCTACTTATAGAGAGGTTGCTAAGATCTGTGTGCTTTTGAAACCAGATCTGCTTGAAGGAATGAATGTTTGTGCCAAGTTTATTGATGACATTAGAAGGATTGTTTGCCCAAGTTCCTTTGCAAAACATACGACAGAGTATAGGAAGACTGCCCTACTTGCCATGATGCAAAAGACGACTATTCTAGCAGCCGAGTGTATGCTCCTTGATCAAATGGATAACAAGGCTTCCAAGGAGGTGGCAAGGGCTCTAGCAGCCAAAATTTATTTTCTACCGAGAAGATCAAAAGGTTGGAATCTCAGCTCGTTATTTTGAAGGGGTCTAATATTTCTACCACTACTTCTCTGCAACTTAAGACTGCTCGCCAAGAGATCGTTGACTTGAAGACTAGGCTTGACACAATCAAACTAAAGTATGAAGGCCTAGAAAAGGAGATTGGATGTCACATACCTCAAATTCAAGATCTTAAGTTTGCAGTTTCTGAGCTTCGTTTCGCTGCTTAAGCAAAGGATGAAAAGTTGATTGCTGCTTATAATCAAGTGATCCCCTTCAAGAGAATCGTCGATAAGCTTGAACCCCAAGTGTTGGAACTTCAAGGTGTATTGAAGATCAACGAAAGTCTGAAGAAGGAAGTGGATGAGCTGCAGCGCGTCTGTGTTGGTTTGCTTGAGGAAAATGAGCAGCTGAAGGGTGAGAATGATGGGCTCGAGGTTTCGAGACCTTCTCTATTTCTCCCGAAGACTTGCTTGTTTTTACTTTTGAGGCTTTCCTTGGTGAAGTAGGTGGAGAAGTTGGTGCCCAGGCTGGGGCAGCCGGGGATGAAGTGCTGGATGATGCCTCTTCTAAGAGTGTCGCGGTTGCTGAAGGTGTGGCGACCGAGTAGTCGTGGGATGTCCAAGCTGCTAAAGTGTAGTCTCTTAAGTAGCCTTTAGGATTTTCTTTGTTTTTCCTTATAGCTCTTGTTTTGCTTAAACTCCCTCGGCCTTTGCTAGTTGTTTATAAACATGCTTGCTTCATTTTTCTTCATCTTTACTTCTTTTATTCATGCCCTAACCTTTAGACTTTATAGATTAGTGGTAGGCATGTTACTTTTCTATAAGCAGACAGACCCATGTAGCCTATGCAGCCATAGGTGTTAGTGTATAACTTTGTAAAGTTGTTAGCTATAGGGTTGGCAGCCGGATGCCTTACTTATAGAAGTAGACAAGTCCGCATAACCACTAGGTTGTTAACCTTGGCTTTCTCCAATTCCGTAGGTTACGTAGCAAGTATCACAACACTTTAGGATTTGGTGTAGGTTGTTTAACGCTTGGCAGAGATGAAGCTTATCGACTGTGTAGCATGTTTGCAGTGGATAAAGCTTCGTATATGCATGCTAGCTTGTTTAACCTTTAACAAGAATGTGCGATTATATAAGTTTAGCATGGTTTTATTGCTCGAAGGGCAAGCCGTAGGCAGTTTTCTGGAAACCGTAGGTTACCTTAGTGCACTCAGTAACAGTTTTAGGGTTCCAAGGTAGCCGTTTATAGGGCATACTGCGTAATATGCCCCATCCGTCTCTAGGGCCCAATTCCCCGTGGATTAGGCCAAGAAACCCAAAATCCTTCAGTTAGCTAAGCCTTGAAAAAAACTATTATGGCTACTTCTAGGAATCCCGGTGCAAGCCATCATGCATCTAGTTATACTAGGGCAGCCCAGCTCATCAACGTTTGGACATTCGGAGTGTAAGTTTATCCTCCCGCCTTAGAGAGCAGACCCATGTGGGTGTCAGGGAATTGGTTTACCATCTCACACTGGAGAGCATGGTTGGTCCCTCGGGGGGTGCAATTCCTGCGATGAGTCCCTAAGAAGGGCGCAATTTTCTTTTGAAGTGCAGGGATGATCAATTGTTGTAGGCATGTAGATGAGCCAAGTTTCAAATTACCTTTTAATTCCTCATTGAAAAACGAGTGAAACGAATGAATAACTTTGCTGTAGAAGATTGCATAACAATTGGATAGTCATCGGCTTGCGAGGTAGTGCTCGTTGAGCTGCTTGAGTCTTCGGGTCTTGATATAGTGGGAGGTCACACATGGTACATCCTCAGATTGTAAACGTTCCACTGCTTTTCGATCTCTTTGTTTTTCATGGTGGTGAAGGTGTAATTTTCTTTGTCGCCTACTCTGCTGATCTTGTACGGACCTTCCTAAATGGGATCCATCTTTTTGGAGCATTCTCTACAAGCAGTGATGAAGACTTTTCTTATGACTAGATTTTTAGGTTGGAACTGCCGGATCTTGGCCTTTTTGTTGTAATTGGAGAGGAACTGTTATTGGTAGGCTGCGACGCAGGTGATTGTCTACTCATGCTTCTCCTCTGCTAGATCTAAGCTTGTGGCCATATCTTTATTGTTCGGTTTCTTGTCTTTTGGTGGTGCAATACACCCATAGACATCTGGGGAGTTTGTTTGGCCATTTTCCCTGCTTATTGGTGAGGGATTTCTTCAGCCAGTCGAGTATCATCTTGTTGGATGCTTTGGCCTACCCATTGCCTTGAGGATATCTCAACATGGACTTATGCTACTTGATGCCATACTTTTGGTAGAACTTCACCAAATCTTTGCCCTCGAATTGTGGGCCGTTGTCGGTGACGATAGGCTAAGGGATGCCAAATTGGTAAATGATGTTCCTCTATATGAAACGCTCTATGTCCGTCTGAGTCGTGGTGATCATAGGCTTTTCTTCTACTCATTTGGTGAGGTAGTTGATAAGCTCATATTTATATATATTTTACATAAAATTCACTTGTCTTTTGTTAGTTAGTTCCTTATATTTTTGAGCTATTTACTATGTTTTTGTGTTTTGTGTGATTTATCAAGCAAAGAAAAGAAAAGTAGCACAAGTGAGTTATTAAGTAACAAATTGGTCAAAACTGCTTGTGCAGATTAGCTGACTTTGGAAGCATGTTACGAACAGCTCAGAATGAATGAAAGAATGAGCCTTATATGTTTGGAAAGCTACGGATGTCTACTTTCTGGATAAATTTACGGATTGTTAATATCAGTTTTCTAGAAGAAGTTATGGGCATTGTAACACTAAAAGGTTCAGAAAAGGGCT